AGGAAAGAGGAAAGAGGAAAGAGGAGAGAGATAAGCGTAGAGAAGACAGAGGAGAGACGAGTGATGAGAGACAAAAGACGAAAGATGAGAAATGAGAGGAGAGGAAAGAGAGGAGAAGAGAGGAGAAGAGAGGAGAAGAGAGGATAAAGGAGAGAAGAGGATGATGAGAAAATAGTTGACCAACAGATAAGGACTGCTGAAATTACCGAGTTGGCTGCGGCAGCTGCTGCTGCTGCGGCAGCAGCCGCCATAGCTTCTGAGACGGATATAGTCGGTATTCCCAGGCCGGACATGTGAGCGAGTCCAACTCCGGGACTTTGACACTGCCCCCCACCAGGCGCTGAATGCGGAGACCCGGCCGCCGAAACTGCTGCGGCCAGGCCCTTGGCGTAAGCGGCAGCCATAGCTGCAGCGGCAATTGCTGCTGTCGGACTCACCTGACCTCCACCGGCTCCGGACAGCGCGAGTCCCCCCGTCGGTGGACTGGCCACCGACAGTCTGGAGCCCCCGGACATGAGGGCTGCGGCTGCAGCCGCGGCCGCGGCGGCTGCTGAAGCTGCCGACGGAGGACCCAGACCAACTCCAACGCCCGGAGTCAAGTGTCCGTTCGACGCCGACTGCGACGCAGACACGCTGCCATTCACGTTGACATTGGCGCCCCCACCGGCGTTCAGATTGGCCGCGGCCGCGGCCACTGCGGCCGACTGTGCGAGTAACTGTTGCTGCAGCAGCTGGAGATGCATGTTTTTCATCACCAGGTTGGTGCGACCATTCTGGCGCAACTGCTCCATCAGGTGCTGCGGTGGATGCAGATACTTACATGGTGGATCGCGACGCTGGCATTTGCCCTGAAGATTCGCGTAATAGAAAAAAAGAAAAAATATAAGGGTATAAATAAATTAATATATACATATATATACATATAATATCACTGGCCTTGGAAGTGGTTAAAAAATCATACAAAAATACAAATGCAGGAAATTAGCAGAGATGAAGAGCTTGTTAGTATCATTAGTTTGCTTCATTCCTGGATGCTATGCAGACAGTCTTCAAGACAAAGGGCGGACCAAAATGGCAGCATATGCGATAAGATGTCAGGTTTCGAGGAATTTTTCGGCTTACGCTTTTTATGTTCAAGTCCATTTCGCATGAAAGTATACCTGATGTAGATCCTCAAGCATCGATCCCACCAAAAGACGACGGCGACGATTGGCTTTACTGGCGAATTCACCGAGGCGACCTTCTTCGATTTGAGTGATATCGTGTCAAGTCTTCGTATGTCACTCGATGGACATCATCAGATCATGGTATCATTTTTACAACCATATTCAAACCAACGAGTCAGGTGACCTCAAAGACCTATCACCACATGCTGCATGTATGCACCCTAAACGTAGACATTTTTATGAGGAATAAAGTGATTTGGTTACTTAAAATCATGTCCATTTAGAGGCATGTGCTTGTTTATATATATGTGTATCGTGCGCGTGTGTGACACTACTTATAAGTAGATATACTAAACCAGCAGCCGTGGCTGAATTTCACATAGCCAATAAGGTGTGCACATCCAGGCAGGACTGGACTGAGGTTTCGACCTCGCCTGAACTGGTCTCATCAGCACCCCCAGCAAGACTCGAACCATGACAACGCAGTGTATCATCTCAACACGTTGACCACTATGCCAGACTGAACCGAGTGCCCCTGGGTCACAGAACAGATGTAGCTTTTACAGAGAGCTATGCATTCTCCAACATAACATTCTGCGATGGGATTGTCGATGCAGCAAAGTTGTATTTAGATCGTAGATATGAAGAGCAAGATGATGTGGCCTTGTGTTTGGTCGCAGTCTACTTTAGCCCTATAGTGTTGATTTTACCTTGTTTTCGCAAATTGGTAGCAACGTCAGGGAAACCTTGTGGAACGTACCTAGTTCTGTGCCCTCTCTGCCAAGGTATTCGTGATTTCCAGTTTCGAACCATTGACTTGGTACATGCCCAAACGTTTCGCCAACATAGTCAATGAGACGTGTCATCGTAAGCAGCGAAATACAACTTGTCAAAGTGGCACGTCAAAAGTTGTAACTTTGTGCCTACGATGCCGGCGAAATGCTTGGGAATGTACCAAGTCTATGGTTCGAAGCTGGAAACCACGAATACTATGAAAAAGTAAACAGGACTAGATACGCTCCACAAGGTCTTCCTGATGCTGTCACCAAGTTGCGAAAACAAGGTCAAACCAAAGTTGTATTTATTATAGCAATCAACTAGATTGTTAACTCTTTGTTTTAAGGAGATTTCCAAGATTGAGGGAAAATTCAATTACTAGCCTTTCATCCCCTTAACGAAATAGGCTGAATATATATCATATATATGATTTACTGGTATTCTCAAAAAACGACTTATAAACTAAAATAGCTCAAAATAATTGGAACAGAATGTAACATTTGGCCCAGGCCACCAAGGTTTAAAAATCCCTGACCGACACCTATATTTATATTTTAGTCATCGCTCCGATTGTGTAGTGGCAGACACAAATATTCCAACTGAACAAGCGAGTTCTAAATGCTTCTTGGCCGTCAAGATCAACGTAAATTCAAGTTTTTGGTTCTATGCATGGTAGGGAAAACTACCATCCATTTCTATCATACCAACAGGAAACCGAAGCCTATTGGCAACAATCGGGTTGGTACCCAGTCGTCTTCGGGCCGTAAGGTAGCTGATCAAGGGCGATAGCGTCGAAAAGCCGCAGGTCCACGATTCGAGATCGAAACTACTGCATAACCCACTTCAGAAGGCTATTTTTGTATATGTGTTGACACTATTCAGTAAAAAAACTGTTTGTAATATCATACAAACGTAGATCCACTTCATCAACCAACTGGTCTCCGATATTCAGAAACGAGTATGTGCCTAAACTACTCATTATGCATATAAGTAGTATATGTAATTACCATAGTAAATGCAAGTTTTTCTTCATTGAAAATCCCACAACAAATGTGATATGAGCGAGACCTAACTAGCAGTTAAATTCCCATCTTCCCTGTGACACACCGATACCCGTAGGAGTGTTGGCGCAATGGCAACATGTCGAAATTACCTGCTGCACTAGCCGGGTTCGACTCCCTTCATAAGTGACCACGAGATACAGACGATGAGGAAACTACAGTCCAGACCATCCCGGATAAGAATACCCTTTGGGAAGCAAGTCTAAGGTAAATCTGTTTGTGGGAAACTTCAATTATCAGCCCTTCATCATTTTATGCAGCCTAGGGAGAATAGGGCCCTTATTCCTAACATATCATATTCATTCTCTTTATGATGGTCAATCTGACTGCCACTTCGAGCCTGTCAATGGGACTTCAGCGGCCTCAGCAGAATAGAAGCTGCTAGGAGACGACATATACGATCCGTAGACGACATCTCCCCACTCAAATGAAAAAAGTATATTATAATCGCCAAAGTTGAGGATAAGCTTATTGTTAATTGGATTCTCCGACGAGGGTATGAATAGGCCTCAGGCTTTCAGTAAATTTCGCTCACTTATCCAGATTGGGCAGAACTGAGGTTTCGACCTCACCTGAACCTATTAGGTGCGGAGAGTCTACCGCTACGCCATACCAAAACTAAAAGGACGAACGTAAAATTTAAGGCCAGCCAGATCCCTCACATTTCCCTGCTGAGGTATGGAGTAGACAAAGTTGTATTTGCCCACACAATCGAAAGTAATACTTACATTCAAATTAAGTAGATATTATTCAAGATGCAAAGATAATTTGCGAAATTAGTCACTTTAAGCAACCGATAGTGACTTAAATTCATGTTGATCATATTAAAACGCGTGCAAGTGCGTATATATGTGTGTGTGTGTGATAGGTGTCTTGGCCTAGCAACCAGAGACTCACTGCTGGCGCCGGTAATGGTATGAAGGGTATGAGCTTCTGTTAGTCCTGTCTAAATGAGTCAATGGATGTGGTCTGCATGGACGGACTGAGCACCACCAGGACGTCTGTTCACACAATGAATTCTGGAAGAGAAACCGAGACGAGTGCAAGAGTGTCGCTTTCGGGGAAGGCGACGAGTCTTGCGAAGTAAATCAGTGCAAACATGAGACAAAGCAAACGAGGCTATGATTGCCTTGGGCGGTAGTATCGAGGTCTTATGAGCACCTCCAGCGGAACTCGACACTGGGTTGTTAATTTTTTTGAGATGTTTGCCATCCCATTCATAGCCACGAGGTCAGGGCAGACGCAAACTTCAAGGCAAGTCAGACATCCTTCAACTCACATTTTCACAGTGTAATTGTCAATTAATTAAATCTCTTGTTGCCATTTTAAATCAACGACGTAAATTAGTTTTGATAAGAATAATTTTCCAATAAGTGTAATAACTTGGTCATCATAGATTGATTAAGATGATTTACGGACTAGTAGTTCAATTTTTCCCACAATGTGGCCAGTAGGCCTCACGATGTTATTGAATTTCACTTTACTTTACTTCCCAAAAGCTGATTGCATCCATGAAAAAATGGACTGCAACTTTCAGATGGCCTAGAGCTACACAGTATTCCCAAAGGGGTTCGATAATGGGTAGTGAGCACCATGGTGACGTTATCACCTCACTGGACAGCCACGGATGCAAGGAAAGCTGTGACATTTAAGGCAAGATGAGAAATTATCAACTCATATTTTCATAATGGGGTTGTTGATTAAGCAAATATGTATTTGTCATTTCAATCAACGATATCACCTATTTTACGTATAAGTGGGCCTCGAGACTATGATTGATTCATAAATAATAATTTTCAGCCGAGGTTCCTGAAGAGCCTACTTATATCGAAAATGAGTAATGCAGTCTTTTGCAATAGAAAACACAGTCTTGCTAAATCTAAAATCCAATAAAAAAGAGTGACTTGTGAGAAGCCTGGCTCGTCTTAAATGTCACACCTATCCTGTGACTCACTGGCACCCATGGTCGTGAACGTCGCCATGATACTCACGACCCTGGCTCGGAACCCACTTAGGGTACTAATGAGGTCAGTTCAGGCGAGGTCGAATCTACCGTCCAGGCTGGATAATATAACACACCAACACTATAACGCTAAAGAAGATTGTGACCAAACGTAAGGCCACACCATTTTGGTATTCGTATCTACGAACTGAATAAGATAAATTTCTGGGAAGCGGGTACAAGTTAAAGCATGGGATTATGCCACCTATGCATGTGAATGTGGGAGAAACTTATCTATCAGAACTCAAATCGAATTAAGCGAAACAAGCTAACAAGTCTGGAGACCTACTAATATCCACTTGGCCTTAGTCTTTCAGTGAGTAATTGACTACAAGGCCGTGGACGGCACTTCACGGGGGCACCAGATCACAGGCTGCAATCACATGCAATGCAGCATTCTGAGGGGGAGTAAAGACGAAAACAAATCGATTCAGAGGAGGGTTTTGTGGGTACACGGAAATGCGGGTGGTACGATAAGGTGAGTGGA